GGAAAGAGTAATTGAACATAAGTTAAAATGCGATACAATAAATTTTCATAATTAGTTTGGATTAATGTTAGGCAAAGCTACTATGGAAGTTATACGTTTATTGATAGGTTTGAAGGAAAACTACAAAGAGAGTAAGAAGAACTTATATATGATTTTTATTGATTTAGCGAATGCTTAAGATAAGGTTCCAAAAGAAGTTCTTTGGAGGGTTCTAGAAAAGAAAAGTGTTGAAATGATTTATATTCAAATCATTAACGATATATATACTAGAGTTTTATTGAATTTAATGATGCAAGGGAGAAAAGAATAATATCTTGAATCACTATACTAAATGAAAAGCATTGAAGCTCTCAAGATACGTGCTAGCGGACAGAATGAAATCCACGGATTCTAGCAGTATCCAGTTATGCAGTGTGTGAACAAAAGCAAATGTTTTAATACTAACTAGTGGGAAAAAAATATTGATTAAAGAATACTAAAGATTTTTCATATACAATTGTAAAATTGCAGATTCTTATTTGTATTGTCGCACAGCTACGAATAGAAAATAGGGTAGATAATTCTAAACAAGATGCTCTAAAAATACTTGAGCTCAAAAAATACGACATATATTGCAAGATATTGAATAATGTTGGCTAATAACATGATATTAATTTAGAATGGAAAAATTTCTTGGTTTAAATAATCTATACCATCAAAAGCCTTTCAACGGTTTGGGGTCAGAATTATGAATTCTAGTTTTTCATTTATAAGTACAGTCTTACACATTAAATATATTCTTCACAAATAATTTTAAACAGTTTTTTTTATCCATATGATTAATACCTGACGCTTTTTCTTATAATCTTTTGAAACTAATTTTATTATCTTTAAAAAACTCATTTTTTACACTTTGTTGTAACCTAAGTCTACTTTCAATCATGATAGATTCAATAGCTGACACAAATTATTTCTGATATAATTATTTCTTAATTTATCCTTTTTGATTGTGCTACACATCATCTTAAATATTTTCATTTTTGTTATATTAAACTTAGATTTTAATGACAATTTACATCTCAATATTCAGATTCACACGACATTACAGGCCTAATTGTAGTTCTATAAAAATTAACTTTAAAACTCCAGAATCACCCAGAACCTAGCCCAAACATCATTTAGCATGTTTTGTGGAAGTTCTAATTTTTAACTAAAGCATACATGAAACTTAAGCACAAAAATGTTCAATGAGTAGCACAGTAAAAGTAATTTAGCTATGTAAGAAGTCCACATCAAGGGATAGAATCATAGATGAATATTAATTACAAACCTTCCTCACATCACCAGTAGCATTGATCTTTGGCTCATGTCCATCATCATTTCCCTTGGATTCGTTCCTGCACAAAGTGAAATTTCTCATTTACTGGACTTATAAGACAGAGTTAGACTTAAGAAGAACTGGGCTTATTGTATAAAAAATGATCTTAATTTATTAGAACTAAAATAAAATATGACACTCAATAGGACGCAATGGAGAAAAAGGATTCATGTAGCCGACCCCACGTGGTGGCAGTAAGGCTTTGTTGTTGTTGTTGTTGTACTGGACTTACAAGACGAAATTCATGAGCAATAAATACATATATGGCAATTTTTGCCACATGAACCATCCTCAAATCATTTGTAGTGAAAGGAAATTAGAAACTAACAAAGTGACATGATAATAGAACCGAAGTGAAAATAAAGATTGTGGTTAAGGTAGCAGAGTATTTTTCCCCTTGAAAAAAGATAAATAAATAAATAAATTACTTACATAACGTTTTTCAGATAGTGTCGAAAAACTTGAGAGTATTAGCATTTCCTTTTTGAGCAAATTTTCTTAGGTCTGCTAACTACAAAGAAATTTGTTTGGTCCTTGAATCAGTAAACATTTCTTTACTATTGTATGTCATTTGGATGCATATTATTCTTCATCGAATCTGTCTAATTTAATCTCCAGAAATTGCTCTTTGCTAGCTTATTCAGTTTTTAATTTTCAAATCCATTCATGCAACTTCAAGTCATACTGATTGACAAGCAAACCACACCGGAGGTTAGTAGTTAATAAAATTCAAGTCTTCAATTTCAGTTACTTTTCTAGTATTAAGAGTCATTAACTATCAATCATTATTCCCATTCATTCTCTTTGAGGATTCTATTATTGAATCCTAATTTTTTTTATCCGTAGATTACACTAGAACCCTACTTAGTACAATGACAAAAGAGAAGCAGAGACACTAGAAGAGAGAAGAGCAGAGGGAAAGTAGTAGAACAATACCCTATAAACCATAATATTACATTTATTCTAGGCCAAGTTACAACAGCAAAATCGCATAACCCTGTCTCTCATAATGAAACCCCATTAAAAAAGACGATGGGGATTTGAGAGCTACATAACATACTAAATCAAATGGTTCATAGTGAGACAAATCAGTTACATCTTGTAAAATATAGAAGAGGTGTAGCATGAGGACTCATATTTATACTCGGCCAGCTAGTCATATTGATGCAAGAGTTAATCCAAACAAGTGGGGTACAACCAGCACACTTTGATAAGAAGAACAGCAAAAAAAACAACACAAAAAATGCTGAAATATGAAATAACAATAACACGACTCACAACACACGGCTAAGTTGGATCTCGGGTGGGTGGTGGTGGTGGTTGTTAGGGGGCATAGAAATGAAGTAGCAAAGAGGTAGGTGATGAAGAAACAGCAGCTAGGGGTGGTTCTGAGAGGAGGAAATAGCAGCTAGGCTGCAGGATGGTGGTTCCAGCAGCTGGGACAGCAGCAAGGTGGCACGGGATAGATTTGGGCTGCTGAAACAGAACTGGCCGCACAGGGCAAGGGCAGGAACAGCAGCTAGGCAGCAAGGATGGGATGCAGGCGGCCGGAATAGCAAGCGACCAGCGAATAGGCGATGTTTGAGGTGGCAGCGAGAGGGGGAATGACGACGACAGCAGCGAGGAGTGCAGGGAAGTATAAAACAGCAAAGGAGGGCTGCAGCAGCGAGAATGGCGGCGGGATAGAGAGGACCTATGCGAGGACAGCAAAGGACAGTTCTCGGACGGCCTGCAGCAAGAAGAAATGTGTGGCGCTGACAAGAGGGATGTGGACTTGGGGAAGATAAATGCCATCTCGGGAATAAGATACAGTTGAAGCACCAAACATGCCGTAGAAGAGAATTACCACCTAGAAACGAGATATAGTCGAAGCACCACTCGCCCTAAAATACAACCATATAAGGGAGAAACCTAGATGTTGATGGCTAACCTGACAGAGAATATGAAAAAAATGGACCCAAGGCACACAATAAAACATATAAATACTACTAGGCAACTAAGGAGTGGCCAACTCCTTTGGGCAGCACTTTCAGAAACTAGGAACGAACTGGTCTAAAGCTTTTGCTACAAGATTGAAACGTCAGTTCAGCGCTTTCCCACTCGATCCAGCGTATCCACATCCGCATCCAGTGCATCTACTCCCGTGTCGAGTGCTTCTACACCCGCATCCAGCGTTTCTACACCCGTGTCAGTCTCCCATGGTTGGGGAAACTCATCCGTCGAAGCTTTTATTTCCTCATATTATTAAATCAAGATGGATACGTTGAAAGTGGCGGAGCTATTGCAATCTCCCGGTAAGTCAATCATATCAATGTTATCATTCAAAAGCACGACTTGATAGAATAAATACACATCCTCTTTTGGCACAATCAAAGCTGACACTGTAGATAAACGAGTATTCACATTAATCAGATATTAAGCCACTACATCTGTAAACTGTTCCTCCCACTTCTCGTGCCCCATTGGACGTATCTGATACATAAGTATATGAGAAGAAATCAATAATGTGATGAAATTTATGGCAGGTTGCATCACTCTCACTAGCAACTACTCAGGAAAAACCTCTTCTTTATTTTTAAAAGGACCTGTATCATATTGAAGAATTTTCTTTCCCACTAAGCTCCTAAGACAATTTCTAAAGTTGTGGTTGATCCCTCATGTGACCATCTATTGGTGGGCACACGGCTAAGCTGAATTGAATACCCCAATGACTCCCTACGATCTTCCATAAGTAGAATAAAAGAGTCTCATCTCTGATATGATATGATGGACCTCTTTAACTAGGGGCAGCTCAAGAGGTAATTTATGTATCTAAAAATTCTGAAATCCTCTTATCTAAGGTTATTTTATGTCTATTATTGGCTCCTCAAACTCATGACTCTTTTGGAAATCCAATATCAGGCCCGTTGATGCTCCTCTCAACACCTGCAAAACTGTATTTCAAGGCACCACAATCTTGCATGGACATCCATTACCTTGAAATAACTAATTCTAGAACAACTACTGTTAACTCAACAAGAATCTCTCTCTTTGGTTCAATTGGAATCGATGGAAAAACTTTCTCGTTGGTTGGCAGCTAATACTCCTTTTTTGTGTCCTCATTTTCTTCAATGTGAACTATGTCATTGCTCATTTCTTGACCAACACCCTACCCAGTGGAATAAATCATTCCCCAAGTTGTGCAATCTAATTCAATATGCCCAAATTCGTAGCACGTCAAACACTTCCTGTCTGAGACAGATTTGGGGAATAAGAATTAGTTACACCTATTATCGACTCTGAAAAAGTGTCTCCTCAAGTGAAATAGGCTTAGAAGTTCTGTTGGGTTCACTCATATTGCTTGATGTGGCGGTTATCTGGCAGTTATCGCTCCAAATTTGAAGTTAGGTTTTACACATCCTGTCTGTAATGAAATGATAGGTACTAGTACTACGTCTCCGGTTTCCTCTTGAATCAGGTATTCATCTTGTCTTTTCCATGATGTTGGCATATGTGCTTCACGATTTCCCACCAAAACAATGCACTTTTCTTTAACTTGCTCGTAGCTAGTTTCACTATTCAGTCCAATGGGAAGTCCTGGTACTCAAAGAAAAGTTACAATCTGCAGTTACTCAATGAATTCATCTAGATCTAAGTGATTGTCAAAATGAGGCAAATTCACCTTTCAAATTTTGACCTCTCAGATATTTTAGGTCAATTTTTTGGGGTAGAGATTCATCCTTGGCATTCATATGCTAGAAGAGATTCACTCCATTTCTTTGATTTAGCAAGTCATCGTTATCGCTATGAATGACCCTTTTGATTGGCCTCCTCTTGAAAGCGGCAAACAACCTCTATTGCAATTGGAGAATTTCAACCCCGCCTCCTCTATAGAAGGTTCCTGGATATCCTTTTGTGGATTTCTTATAAACAACATCATGACATATCCACCTATTCTAGTCTTTGGCAATTAAATCTTCGATGGCGTAAATATGGTTAAGGGTGTAGATAAGGGCGATGTATGGTGTAATGATGGCTTGAATGGATGAGGGGAAATTTTTTTCTTGAGGGGTGGACGTAGTTTGGGTATGGTGGATGCTATAGAAACCCTAGGATAGGATTAGGGTTTAGACTAGCCATAATACCAAATGATATCCGAGTTAACCCAAACCACAATAGAAAAAGTAAATATTACTATGGAAAGCAAAAGCGGGTAAAACCAACACACTTTGGCAGAAAAAACAACAACAAACAACACGAGACACGTTGAAATATGAAATAACAAAATGACTAAGGACACAAAGCTAGGGTGGATCTCGAGTGGTGGCGGTGATTGTTAGGGGATTTAGAGAGGCGGTAGCAAGCGGATAGTTGGACTGAACAGTGAAGAAACAGAGGCCAGAGAAGGTTCTGGGCGGTGGGAGTAGCAGCTAGGCTACAGAGTGATGGTTCCAGCAGTTGGGACAGCAGTGAGGTGGCACGGGGAATGGGTTTGGACGACTAGAAAAGAACTGGCAGCACCAGGGGGCGGCAGAAACAACATCTAAGCTGTTGGGATGCGATGCAAGAGGCCAGAATAGCAGGCAACCCCAATGGCAGCGGTAAGGGGGAATGACAGCGACAAAACTGGGTAGTGTGGGGAAGAATAGGGCAACAAAAAGAGGGTTGTCCTTGGGCAGCGGCAGCAAGAAGGGTGGTTGGGTAGTGAGGAACTATAGTGAGGACGGAAAAGAGATGCTATCAGGCAACCTATAATGGGAGAAATGTGTGGCAATGAAGATGGAGGGACGGAGGAATTGGGCAGGATAATTAACACTCTGGGAATTAGATACAATAGTAGTATCACTCAAACCTTGGAGGAGAATAACTACCTCAAAATGAGATACAGCAGAAGCACCACTAGCTCTGGGATATATCCCTAGAAGGGAGAAACCTAGATGCCATCAACAGAGCTGATAAAAAACATGAGAAAAGCTAACCCTAGACATGCACAAACAATATATAAAAACTATTAGGCAACTGAGTGACCCAATCCTTTGGGCGGCACTTTCAAAACATGGGAACTGAACCAGTCCAAAGCTTTTGCCCCAAGGGTTCAGCGCCAATTCAGCGCTTCCCCGCCAGCATTTCGATTCAGCGTGTTCACGCCTACATTACATATAGCTGCTAGTTCCTTTAGTGGAAGTTGTTGGGTACCTCAGAGGTTCAAAAGACTAGTTGATCTCTTTTAGTTCAACGAATTCACAATGAGTATAGAGAATCCTTTATAAGTTTGGTGATCAAGTCTTCCTTGAACTAGCGCATTGGTTTGTGTTGATCCTAGCAAGTAAATCTACTACGAAATTGGCTAATGAGTTCTCTTTGAGCCTGTTTAGTAACTCTGTCTTAAGCTTAGCTAACAAGTCTACATTTAGAGTGTAGGATGTATATCATTAGAATATGATCACTCGTGAAAAGAAACACCCTTTAATTTAAGCCTCCTCAAAGTGCAAGGAAATTTAAGAGTAGTTTCTATTAAAGGTGGATTAGGTTTGCTTCAATCATTCTTCCCCCAAAGGTGTAGGCTTAATTTAGATATTGAGCTGAAACATCCCATAAATGAACGACTCTATACTTCATTAACCTCTTCACTCATAGAAGAGCATTCACAATGAAGAAGAATGGTAAGGTAAATAATTTAATCGTGGATTTGATACTTATGACTTTAATAAATAGAGGAATCATGGTGGGACGGAGGTCAAATTGATCAAGATCTCACTTTTTTGTTGTCCTAGGTATTACAAATAGACCTAATAGATCATTAGAAGGCCATAAGAAATAATATCCATGGAGCCTAATTAATAGTCATAGGTTGTCTCATCTTAGTTATCCTTAGCATATGGAGTTGAAAATACGCATCAACAATGTGTTTTTGAGATGAACACCAATTCATTTACAAGTAGAGGTTTGGCCATACCATTTTCACAAAATGGTTCAAAGGCACAAAGCATGACCGTCTATGGTTAAAAAATAATGGATGTGACTAGAAACAACTCATCATCATAGTGTTATTGTCAATCATTCATGAAATTCAGCATTACTTGAAGAAGCGTATCTAAGACATATAAGTTCTTGGCTTGCATGCGAGCCCATGAATAAAGGTTAAGGGTTTCCTACAAAGAATGCGACCTCAGGCTTTATCCAAACTCCAATTAAGGTTGGCAGGGAGCATTTAGACTCGATTGTTTCTTCTCTTTTTCTGTAGTGAACATAATCATTTGAATTCTCCCACATGTCATCATAGCATTCACAAGTTTCTGCTATAATGCTACCAACTCTTTGTAATACGTAGTGACATCATGGTCATTTTATTTTGATTTTCGAAGTCGAGTTTTCAATTCATAAATTTGGGAACAATTCTCTAAGTCTGAATAGAGATCTCAAACAAACTCCCAAATATCTCGAGCGGTGGGAAGGAATAGATATGACTTTCCTATGATACGATCCATAGAGTTGATGAGCCAAACCATAATCAGAGAATTTTCATGCTACCATTTTTTCAATTTAGGATTGCCAATAATAGGTTTTGAATTTTCTCATGTTAAATACCTAATTTTTCTTCTACTATCAATTGTCACCAATTTTATGCATTGAACCCACTTTAGGTAGTTATGCCCATTGAGTTTTATAATTGTGGGATGAGGAGGTGAGTTATGGGAATAATACCCTACCAATACAGCCATGAGAGTCGTAAAGGTGAGATAGTATGGTTGTGAAATTACTGGAACAATCCGATGAGGTAAGATTTTTCTAGACTCTGAACAACATTACAGACTTATACGACATCCTCAAAATATGAGACGTGTAGCAAACAAGCAGTGGAGAAAAAAGAGGTTTGATTCTGGTACAAACTCAATGCGAGGAGCTCGGTTCCAGTAGTAGCCATGCGTAACAAAGAAAGAAATCATTAAAGAAGCGAAACTTCCCAGAGAAGAAATGTAGAAGGAGCGGAACTTGCTAGAGAAAAGTTGTGAGCGGCCCAGCAGAACTCACAGACGGAACTCTCAGATGGAAGTTCAAGCCCTAGCACAGAGCGTAATGATCGTGGGTAGAAGCAGAGTGAAACGAAACTCCCAGACATACGACCGAGGGTTTCGAACTCAATTTGTATGAAAGTTCCTTCGTGACCAATCCTTGTGATTCGCAAGAGAGTAGTGAAGTCAACGACGAGATTACGTGCAGTCTTTCTTCAATCTAGAGCCTTAGTCTTCCACAAAGCCCATAACGGAATCACGTAAAGCCTTTTTTTTGTGATATGGAGCTTTGGCGTCGCAAAACCAAAAGCTCTGATAACATGTAACTTTTGGAAGAAATAAAATAATTATTTTTCTTCAATTTCATAGAAAATAGTTACAAGATAAATAGAGTGGGATCGCTCCCACATCATAAAGGTAATAAAATCAGCCATAACTCCCGAAGATAATAAAAAGAGAACATTAATTATGACATACCAATAATGCTACGTTTTAGATATAGAAAATACCTAATAATAGAATATTCTAAAATAAAAAACTTCCTAAAATTCATATTAAAATTTTAACCCAAAATCGCTCAAGAAAAAACATAAATGTCATGCAAAAATTTTCAGAGCCCACAAAAAATCTCAATTATTTACACTAATAAAGACTACTCAATCCATGATGGATCCTCCTAGACTGTTTTCAGATATTCTTGCCTTATATATTGAAATTACAAGAAACATTAAGTACCCTCCCTCCAAGAAAACACAGCAGCAAGAATATGAAAAATAGAAAACTGTATTGAAGCACTTCGTCCAGAACAAATTAAAAAAGGCATAGATTTCATAAGCCAAATTATTTTAGAAATCACTAAAAGCAAGCATAATTTGTTTACAAAAGACATAATATTTACCATAAAACAGCAAAACAACAACAATGCAGTGATTAAACATTAACAAAAAATTACTAAAAAATGACAGCATTAGATATGATATATTAAATGACAACCGCATACTCTGACGGCTGAAGCTTATTGGAATGTTTTCTCTTGATTAAACTTGTTATTTCTCTTGGTGTTTCTGTATGTGCTATATTCCCATTAGGAAGACCAACTTCCTTCTTATCTCCAGGCGAAACTCTTTGAGAATACCTAATTGCCAAAGCATTACCATTCAAATCAATAGCAAGGGTGATCAAAAATTAAAAAATAAACTTAAATGCGAAAAAAAGGGAAAATATAAATAAGCTTAAACGAAGCTGTATCATGCATACTCTGAGGCTTGATGTTTACTAGTGTGGTTTTCCTTGCTCTTTTCATTCATCATTTCATAGGATGCGGTTCTCAAACTCACAATATCCCCATGAAAAACAATATTCTCTTCATCACAGTTTGAATATCCTTGAAAATCCTTAATAGCCAAAGTATCACTGTTCAAATAAAAACAGTAGTAATCTAAAACTATTAGGGTAAACCACCTTCATTGTAAAGTTCTAGAAGTGATTGAATCTCATTTGTTTGGTTGAAACTGAGCTCACAATCTTGAAAATCATCTTCAAAAAGGTAAGAGGTAAATTTTAATCTTGATGCTAGAACTTCACCACCAGTTTTATATTTTTTGTTTAATAGCAACTGAATAATAACTTAATGAGATAAAAATTAGGATGGTGCTTAAAATAAAAAATAAATAGAGAAGGCGGGTAAACAAAAAAATGCAGCCCAGAAAAGCATAACAACTTAGTTCACAGAATTGAGTTCTTAGATACTAAAAATATATTATCATAAATCACATAAATGTGACCATTTACAGAACTTAGATTCACATACTTTGCAGTCACAATAAATAAACCTAAACCTTAAACAGCTAGATCAACATAAGCGACCCGACTTCAGGATACTTACTCTGAGCCCAGAGGTCTACATGAATGTTTTCCTCGGTGCTTTGCATTTTTCAATTTACATACAATTTCCTGATGTGTTGTCTTTCCGTTAGGAAGCCACAAATCTCCATCTTGGGAATCTCCTCGAGAACTCCTTTTTTTCAAATAACTACTCTAGACAGCAACAACAAGAATGATCAAAAACTACTAAAAGATATGACTGAAGAAAAAAGAAAATGTTGATCACATAACAATTTATACTAGGCCCGAAATTTGTCAGAATGTTTTCTCTTATACTTCATAGGATTTATTTCATTTGATGCAGCTTCCATGTGATCTATGTTCTCATGAAGACTATTATTTAGAAATCCTTGAGAATCCTTAATAGACAAAGTATCACTATTCACAAAAATAACAGGAGTAATTTAAATTTATTAAAATAAAACAAAGAAAGAAGAGAATGAACAACATAAGAGTTGCTGCTTTTGTGAAATGCACATACGCTGAGCCCTGAAGTTTATGTTTTCCCTTTATGATCAGCTTTATCTCACTTGATGTGTCGATGTGTGGGATGGAAAGACCCAAATCACCTTTATCTATCTGTGAATCTGCTTGAAAATCCCTATTTGCTGAAGTACTATAATTCACAGAAAAAATGAAAGTGAATAAAGTTTACTAAACAGTATACTTAAAAGCAAAAAGAAAATAATGGATTAGCATAAAAAAGCAGCATAATTCTTACTCTGTAGTTTGAAGTTCACCAGAGATTTTTTTCTTGCGCTTTGCTTTCACCATTTCATTTGAAGTGTTTTCCTTGCGTGCCTTATTTCCATGAAGACCAACATTCTCTTCATCTCCTAGTGAATCTCGTTGAGAATTTTTACCAGCCAAAGTATTACTACACAAAGCAACAGCAATAGTAAATTGCAATTACTACAGAATTATATAAGAAAAAAGTAACTTCAATAATATAAGGATGCAGCACTGGGTACGCATGGATACTTTGAGCCCTGAAGTTTATTAGAACGTTTTCTCTTGCCGTTTTCTTTCATTCTTTTACTTGAAGTTTCAATATGGATTGTGCCCCTAATAGAAAGAACCGTATCATTTTGATCTCCTTGTGAATCCAGTTGAGGATCCATACTGGCCAGGTTCATATTGTTAAAAGCTGAAGTTTGTCTGCTTTGAAGAATTTGTTCCTGGTTATGACTACCACAAAACTTTACAACATCCTGGAACATAACACCATTCTTTTTTATCCTGATAAAAAGAAAATGCAAACAATCAAAACATCATTGGAAAGTAATCACGTAAATGAACATCTAGATCATATACTTAGGACCAAATTTGCAGCTGCTTATCACACAAGCAGGAAAAAGATAAAAGAAGTAGCATGACTGAAATACAAAAAAAGATAAATTGAATTCAGAAGTTGTTCTCAAATCAAGAACAGACTGTAAGAAATTGAAACTATCCTGAAACATGTCCATCCCAACAGCGCAACAAACATGAACCCTATACAGAAATAAAGTATGATTCTAAAATTGAATTCCTGTTTCCTACCATCCACTTATTTGAAGCCCCTTCACAGTTGATGATTGTAAACGCATATAAAAGAAGCCAGACAGCTAGGGGAGCTCTGACAACTTTCCCATCAACTTTAACAGAGTGGGGGAGAGCTTTGAACATTCAGAAGCACATTATCGACTCACCGCTTTCCAATCTTGTTCCAAAACTAACAAGAACTGTTGCTAGTAGCTACACAACTTCAAAGACCACTGTTACCACTGTCATGTGCAGTGGCAGAAGCCAAACTCATTGTCCTGTCTATTGGGAAATTAATTGCCTAATCTCCCAACCCATTCTTCTTGCTCATCACATCTAAACCTGCTTTTCCATGTTCACTCTTGATAAACTCTCTTCTTTTGCTTAGGGCCAAAAATGGGTTGTCACCTTACGCTCTGTATCTAATACTATACTTTTTTAAAGGGTGATATTATAACAAAAAGATCAACGAGTAAAGCGTGAGTGATTAACAAGAATTGCTAGAGTACAAAGCAAAATACAAAAGAGCAAATACTTAAAGCATAAAGCAAAAGTATAAAGCAACCCATAGCATTGAAAAACTAAGAGACCAAGAACTCAATTGGATCACCTTGCTTGAAGCCTGACGAAAGCTAGAGTGTGATAATATATTTTATTCTAATTATCTTCGCATCTAATAAAAAAGATTTGAAACCACTAATGCACCAAAACGTCAGGACTCATAATACTTCCATTAGAATATTTGGATTATAGATCATAAATATTTGTGTCCGGACTAATAGGAGGGAGAAGAGAATAGCCACAATTGAAGAAACAAAATTTATACTCTCAGTTGTAAAAGATGTAGAAGCCGTGTTTAAAGGGCCGGCAAGGGTAGGCGCAATAGAACGAGAATTCTAAGAAAACCAATTGGTTCCAAACTCAGAGAGCATGCCTGAAGTGATGATATAGAAGCAGCAGCCATTGTGGGAGAAAATAACATCTGGCCATTTGAATGACCTTCTTGCATCTAAAAGTTTGATTGTCTCAAATTCAAATGGGCTTTGAAATAGTCAAAGATATTGCCCAAAACAATTTGCAGCAAAAATAAAACTAGGATGCCTTCAAAAACTATCATAAGCTAATAACTACATGATTATCAGCCAATCCACACCTCATTTTCTAATGACAAAATAAAATTTCAACCAAAACTCTGGTAATAGAAGACCTCGAAAGACGAGCAGTAGCAACATCCACATGTAATGGTTTACTAAAGATAGAATTCAATTAGTATAAAGTGGATTGGTTAATAAAATGAAATTGAAACTGTGAAAAAGCAACCCAAAAAAGGGTGATTAGCCATTGTACATGCATAAAAAAAAATGAAAAATTAGTAGACCACTAGAGCATGGGCATTGAAAAGCCATTGATATGGTATATACGTCCAGAAAAAAATCATGTGTGATACAAATCTGGAGATAGTCTTATAATGATGTTTGAAAAATCAATTAATCTAACTAAAAAGTTACTGACAAAGTAAATATCCAGCAAGAATTTATGAATGACACCAATATTAGGATGGTCCAATGACAATTTACCGAAGATGGACAAAAAAGCAACCTAGCAAGCTCATAGCTTTTAACATTAGAAAATATAAGCACAAGTTTCCCCTGAAAAAAAGAAGATTGGTTATGTTGCAATTGAATGGAGTATGGATTAAAATATAAAGGAAATTGAGCAGAACGAGGGGTGTAATCCTAAAATAACTGACCCACCCACCACTTTAGCACAATATAAATGATGAACCTGAACAATAGGAGCTCAATATCCAATGAAGTGTTGGTAGGAGTCTTTGAACAAGTAATAACAATCAGCATGTGAAACAAAAGCCAACATTGTGGAACGTCCATACACCTAGGAATATCCAAAGAGAGAGGCAATTGTGAAGGAATTGAACTATGAGAATGAGAGGTGGCAAGAGCATCCCAATAGAGGGAAGGATGAGGGTGGCAAGGATCTAGAATGGGGAAGAAAGTTACCCAGTGAAGAAGGGAGTGGTCAACAAGCGAGAAAAAGGTCATGATCAAAACCCTAAGTGGGTCGTAAAGGGCCACTCAGTGAAAGCTTATATGGCAATACACAAAAGAGCAAGTGCATGCATATAAGGCTCGTGGAAATGCATGAGTGCTTGTAGAAGCACACGAGAATTGAATGAAATCAAGATGAAAAAGTCGATCGAGATCAAGAGGGGCACAATGGCATTCTAGCATATGCCAGTCATGCAAAGCGAAGGCTATTAGGGCACAACAATAGTGTACGTCAAAATTGTGTCACCTGTGACGCGAGGGATGACGTGGTCTCGCAGGGCCTACCAAGGATGATTTAGGATTACATGCTCAACCGACCAGTCCCTGTACTGTGGAAACGAAGCACCTCAAATGGAAGAGGAAGAATCACCACTAAAGGATCCAGCTGATCAAATCTGCCCGGTCAAGCCAATCGCTTTCCAACTCGAGTAGATCGGGAAGAAGAAATGGTTTCTCCAACTCCAGGACAGTCGATGTGCACTTTCGGCAAATGATCACCAGGCCCAGCGGTCACCCGACCACGTAGTCGCTCGGCCTTATGGCCACCCGGCCATATCGCCATCTGGCCTAAGAACAGCAGGTCAGCCACATCTATGGGCCCCACGGGTCAAACTTATGTACAGACCAAAGTGCCCCCGTCATACCTACGAACTTTAGGGGTACAACATGTAAATGTACAAATACTCATTCCTATAAATAGGGGGTCATTTCATGAATAAGGGTTGCGCAAATTTACCGTTCATTATTGTGTTATTGCTCTCCCCTCTCTCTACCATCCTTCGAGCACTTTATTCCTTAGGCAGGCCTCCCGAACATATTTGGATTCAACAAATAGTGTGTCTGATAGAGTGCAAGCGATCACAAAAGTATGCAACTATGAAACCCCTTAAGTATGCCGAAGCAGAACTCTTAAACATTGATAGTTTTTACACATGAGTGCTTTCCTGCAAAGTTTTCTCGTGGTACTGTAGTTACTACAGTACTGCAGGAAAACAAATAACAGAAGACGAGATTTGGGCAGCCAAAACAGTTTCGTTTTCCGTTCTTATTAATTCTTTCTTATTATCCTTCATTTCTTTTTAGTCATTCCCTATATATGTGTGTGTTAGGGTTTGAATTAGTAGGTTTTTGTGAGTTTTATTTAAGATTTCTTTCCTGACAGTCATCGGCGTCCATTTTCCCCTTCAAGGGCTATATCTGAGGAATTGGGTGGTGCTCCAACTATATCACTCTCCCGAGGATTTGGTTATCTTCCTTTATTCTCTTCCTCATCTTTTCATATCACTCCCTCCTGACGTACCTCGCTACAGCCACCCGCAACGGGATCCCAATTGTTGTAATCTGCAATTACAGCTACTCGAGCACCTTCTCTTCCCTCGTTCTCACTGTCTCAGCCCTCCACATTCGTTGTTGCAGCACGCAACACCTTTCCTTTGTTGTATTCCTGTTGTCCAGCAGCCCCAAACATCAACCTACTGTTGTTTGGACTGTCGCCCCATGTTGTCCTACTGTTCCAACTACCACTAACCGTTGCCACCCATCATCGACAGCCCCAAAAACCCCTTTCCTATCTTGATGCCACTTCTCCGAGCCGCCTAACCGTTAACACCATCACCCGAGATCCGTCCTAACGTGAGTTATGCGTCGTGTGTATTGTATTTCCCCCTTTAAGTGTGTTGATTTTAACCATCTATTTGGTTCCAGGAATAATATTTTCTTTTCCTAATGTGGTCCGAGTTAATTCCAGTATCACATCTTTTGGTGTAAATGTGGAATTTTGTTAAGAACTCCAAAGTTAAGTGTGCCCGTTCTGCAACATTCTCAGAATGGGAGACCTCTTAGGAAGTTACACCAATGGGGTAAAACCGTGAGGCCACTAGGCCAAAGCGAACAATATTTTGATGGGTGAGAGTTCGGTTTGTCACAAAAGGTATCAGAGCATTGCACAAGCCAGAAGATGGGAACTAAGTGTCATGCAGAAAAAAGTGTTATGCTATGATAGCACCTCCTGAATCCTGGATGGGACGAAGTGCTATGGTGGGAGTCATCTCTTGAATTTGTAGGTTTTAGCTCTAGAGTCTTGACTTTTTGGTGGATGAACTTGGGTATAGAGCGCTGACGAGAATGTCAGGTACTTAAGTGAGGAAGACCAAGAAACCCCTCAAGTAAATTGAAGCCAAACTCTTAAACATTAAGACGTCTTTTGGTGTAATAGTGGAATTTTATTAGAATTCCAAAACAAGAGTGCTCGTCTTGGAGCACTCCAAGGCACTCATCTTGGGAAGTTACGCCAACGGGGCAAAATCGTGAGGCCATTAGGTCAAAGCTAAAAAATAGCTTGATGGGTGAAAGTTCGAGCTATTATAGCAAGAGTCAAACGAGCCAATGAAAACTTGGGCAGAGTTGTTGTAATTACGTTGTATGTTTGTATCCACTTTTTCTCATATAGTGCCAATAATTAGATGTCTCCCTTAGGATCCTCCTCCCTCTCATTGCTCTTCATTCAACTAGCACAATAAATATGAACTACGAAAAGCAAATAAATATGGTTTTAAATTTGAGTTCAAGTTTCCTAATTTCCTCATTTATTGAAGCAAATTAGTGCGAATACATTTAGTTAGGAAAGTTTTTTTGATCGCTTGGATAATA